CGTCGAGGAAGCGGGACATGGGTCCAAGAGGCCGATAGATTACAGCAATCCTCAGAAGGATTGGAGAGAATAGTTGGATGCAGCGGGCCTCAAAGGAGGAGAAGGATAGAGAGGGGGGGTTTGGGAGGACTTGGAAGGTGCTCAGCGGTGACAGGAGCATACCAACCCCACCAACTTTTCGACCGCTGGGTCTGGGTGAGTGGGTCCAGATGAGACCTCCATAGGAGAGTGCCACAGGGGAGGTAGAGTCAGTGGCTTGGATCCAGGTTTCAGTGATCGCTAGGAGGTTGAGGGAGCAGGAGACAAAGAGGTTGTGGATGGCCGTGAGTTTGTTGCAAACCGATCGGACGTTCAGGAGTGCACACGAAAAAGATGGGGTGATTTTGGAGAGCAGAGGGACAGGTATTAGATTGAGGGGGTTGCGGCAGTTCGTGGAAGTAGGAGGGTGCCTTGTGGATGAGCAAGGTGGTGGAGGACCAAGGTTCGGTTAGTAAATACTCAGTTGTTTGTGGTGTCTTTGAACTCATGATTTTTGTGCAGCATGTCTAAACCCAGGGTGTCAGAGGTGTCAGGAGGCTCGCAAGGTCAGGGCAACCTTTAAAGACAGTCATCTTACAGCGGCCCTCACGAGGGTAGCACTACACCTTAATTATGAAGAGTATATTTTTGCCATTTTAATCCTACTCGTGTCTAAACACAATATTTTAAAGTATAATTGTGTAGTGTCCATGATACTTTTTTACTTTGTATTAACAGTTAAATGTTCAGGACACCCTTAGAGGGTGTATATTCTCTTCCTCTAAGGTCCAAGCAATACTGATACAAAGAGCTTAATATAAATTTTAGTCTTAATAAAAAAATTATCATGGACTGTACTCCATGATACCTGCCGTGCGTTACTAAGTGCGCAGATGTGAACAAATGGTAACACAAGTGTGACGCGAGTTGCCACATGTTTTAGAAATGCACAACAAAGCATGTGCTTTTTTGTGGGTTGCCATTAGAAATGCACAGATGTGAGCGCATGGTAATGCAAGTGTGATGCGCATTGCCACATGTTTCTCTTGCAGGTTGCTGTGCATTTGGAAATGCACAGATAAGAATGTATGGTAATGCAAATGCAATGCGCATTGCCACACGTTTTTGAAATGCACTGCAAAGCATGCAGTTTCTTGTGGGATGCCATGCATTCAGAAATATTCCAAAATGCGCAGATGTAAATTAATAACACAAGCTCAATGTGCGTTGCTTCACATTTTCAAAACAAAAAGGCAAAGTGTGCGTTTTTCTGTGCAGGTTGTCGCACGTTTGGAAATGCGCAGATGAGGATGCAGCCTAAATGGAAATGCAATCTTATCTATATTCCCATCGCACACATTCCTGGAAGTACGGCTCATCAATAGTGGGTGCTGTAGTGACTACCAGCTGGGACTGGACACATCATAGGCAAATGTACATATTCACCAGCACACCATGGATTTACAGTATGGTCCAAAAGGGTGCAACGTTTCGGAGCCGCGCGGGATCACTTCATCAGGCATGTGACGAAGGGGTTGCACTTTCTTTTGTGATTTGATCTTTTTGCAATGAAAATCTCTTTTTGGACCATATCGGAGATCCATGGTGTGCTGGTGAATATTTACATTTGCTTTAACTGGTAATGCAAACGTGAGACACACGCGTTCGGAAACATTCAGATGTAAATAAATAGTAACACAAGCACGACACACGTTTTCTGTGCGGCAACATGTTTTAGGACCCACAGCAAAGCACAGTGTTTTCTGTGCTGGTTTCCATGCATTCAGAAACGTGCAGATGGAAATGCAGCCTAAATAACATTCTGAGCATGACGCAAATTTGGTGATTGTTGCTGCACATTCTCAAAATGCACTGTAAAGCATGTGTTTTCTGTGTGTGCATTTGGAAAAGTGCAGATGTGAACGCTACCTTAATGCATGCATGACACACATTTTGTCATGTATTTCTGAAATGTGGATTGCCATATGTTCAGATGTGTGCAGATATGAATGCAGGCTAATTGTTACCACCCCAATCACAGTTAGCATATGCATATTTTACTGCCAGATTGTGTGATGCTCCATGATTAAAAGGGTTTTTGAGCTACTTTGGGGTGTTTGTTGCACGTAGGGCAGCTCATTCAAGTTAATAGGCTGCCCTATATATAATGATGCATGTTTACATGTGAAAAACACGCAAAAAAAAAAGTGAGAGGGAATGTTGGTAAATTTAACCACAGCACGGTTTAATAGTGGCATAAACTGGGAGATGGAAAAACACTGAGAGTGTTTTTGAACACAATTTATTATTATTATTATACAGGATTTATATAGCGCCAACAGTTTGCTCAGCGCTTTACAATATAACGGGAGACAATACAGAAACAATACAGTTCAATACAAGAGGGTTAGGAGGGCCCTGCTACTCGGAATTTACAATCTAAGAGGGAGGAATTGGTGTGGGGGATGATCTGATAGGAGGAATAGAAGATTCCGTTACACTATGGAACTTATTTTTGGACTTTACCATTTGTTTATACTTAGTGCGTTTTTTTCACAAATGTCGGATTAGACTGTTAAGATTTTTATTTTGCACTGGTCACTTTATAGGATTTTTGATTGCATGCAGAGATCAGTAAGGGTTGTTACCTCTATTTGGGTTTATTACTTTGCACCATAGCACTTTAAATATTTTTATAAGATATTTGTGATTGCACATAGAGACTAAAAGAGTTGCTACATTTATTTTTGTTTGATTTTATTGTTTGCACCATTGTACTATTTTTAGTTATGTTATATATAGAACTTACAGCACTGTATGTTGTTTTATTGATTATTAAAGCAGGCAGTGTCTACTGTGTAGTCTCAGCCATATGGTTATTCAAGCATAAGATGATTGTCTTGGTGTCTTTTCCACCTGAGAAATGTTGCTATGTGGACAGGATTTGTGAAGTGGTAGCGTTACATTTTTTTTATATATGAATAATTCCTTTTTTATATATTCGGTTATGGTTAGAGATTAGTTGTTTGGAAGGAGATATCATTTCATTAACCATATTGATTTCTTCAATAGGAGCAGTTTGATCTCCACTCTGTTGGTTTTCTTTTAAGCCAGGGCTTAAAATTTCAAGTCCTGAGCTACTAGCCAGGTCTTAAGAGTTACTCGCCACCAACAAATACACACAAACAGAGACACCTGTACACACACACAGACATGTACATACACATACACACACAGAAACATGCACAGAGACACATGTACACACACACAGACATGTACATACACACACAGAATCGTGTACACAAACGCACAGAGACACATGTACACACACACATACAGTCACATGTATACACACACAGGCACGTACAGACACGCATACACACAGATACATGTATATACACAGAAATACACATGCACAGACACATGTACATACACACAGACATATGTAGATACATTATAAAAGTTCAGGTTCAGCGAGTGCTTAAAATTGAAAAAGCGGCTACAACACTAAAAGGGAAACCATATAACCTTCTATAAAACCATATAAAACATGTAGTGCAGCGCTAAAATAATATTTGTAACACACAATATGAATGGTTATTATACGTAAAAAATATTACAACACGTGAATATGGGTAATGTCCGCGTAAAAACCATATATAAGGAAGAGTAGTAAACGTCCCCACAATAGTGAAAATTATTCCAAAATTTAATTCAACAGGTATATCGATAGGTGACTTCTCTTAATCACAGTGATAACTGTAATCCGGTGACGTGTGGGAAGAAATGATAAGATTGCACACTCACCAGAGGCGCAATGAAAATGTGCATTTAAGTCAGATAAGCCTGAGGTCCCCTCTCTTCTGGGAAAGATGCAGCCTGGAATGGACTACCTCTTCTATAACTTCTAGAGGTCCCCTTAAGGGATTAAGTGCTCGGTACAGAGCAAAAAATGGTGCCCATAGTGTAGTATTTCACATATACTTTAGTTTATTAAGTAGTGTAAAAGATAAATCTGCTCATGGGTCAGTAACAAATAACGGTATGAAGTGTTAAAATCTGAAAACAGGTAGCATGCAGCCTGAAAGCTGCTGAGTGCACTAACCAGCTGGTTATAAAGATAGCCACCGGACCTCCGTGATCCGGCAGCCTGACGTCTCGGCGTGTGGGGTTCAATAATATCAAAAAAGGATTGAGAGAACATTCACTATCCAAACATTTCAGATACTGCCACAATAGAGACCCGATCACGTTAAAATTTACTGGCATTGACATTGCTCAGGGTCACTGGTGAGGCACTAACAAGTGTAGATTGGTATCGCAAATGGAAACGCGATGGATATATGAGATGAGAACCCTGACCCCTGATGGCCTTATATAATATAGAAGTTGATATTAATTGCTTTATATACAACAGCTAATTTTATCCATCTTTATTTTTATTATATGCTACTTTATTATATGCTGCTTGACTGAATGTGTGTACATTTATCTTTTACACTACTTAATTAAAGTATATTTTACACTATGGGCACCATTTTTTGATCCGTACCGAGCACTTAATCCCCCAAGGAACCCAAGGTGACCATCCCAGGGCCCAGAGGAGAGACACCTGTGACAGACCCTCACCGCAGACCTAAAGGGGACCTCTAAAAGTTATAGAAGAGGTAGTCCATTCCAGGCTGCATCTTTCCCAGAACAAAGGGAACCTCTGGTGAGTGTGCAATATTATCATTTCTTCCCGCACGTCACCGGATTACAGTTATCACTGGGATTAAGAGAAGTTACCTATCGATACACCTGTTGAATTTAATTTTGGAATAATTGAAAATATTGTGAGGACATTTACCACTCTTCCTTATATATGGTTACACGGACATTACCCATATTCACATGTTGTAATATTTTTTACGTATAATAACCATTCATATTGTGTGTTACAAATATTATTTTAGCGCTGCTCTACATGTTTTACATGTACATACATACACAGACACATGTACGTACATACACACAAACACACACACATGGACATACACACACAGACACATGTACACACACAGACACATGTACACACACACATACATGTACATACACGCAGACACATGTACAGATATACAGTACACATGTACATACACACAGACACATGTACATGCATACATAGACACACACAAACACACGTACACACACCCATAAAAAGTTGCAGTACTTCGTTGTTCACTCACAGAGCCGGGTACTGGGAGGCAGAGAGCACAGCACACACTCCTTCCTTTGCTATCACTGCGCTCAGCTATTGAGCAGTCTGACGGCTCCCAGTGCCAATGACAGATCCGGCCTGAGCTCCAAGCCTGCTCAGCAAGACGGCACTGGGGGACACACTCGCCCCCACCCTAATTTCCACTTGCCATTGGTGAGCAGGCGAGTGTAAATTTCAAGCCCTGTTTTAAGCTATAGATTAATTTAGAACTCTCCTTATGAATGCATTGTGAGGGACAGAGATGACATTTTAGTTGGAGTCATCAGGATTTGTGAGAAGGACTTCATTAACCACTTGCCTACCGGGCACTTTTACCCCCTTCCTGCCCAGGTCAATTTTCAGGTTTCAGCGCTGTCGCACTTTGAATGACAATTGCACAGTCATGCAACACTGTATCCATATGATATTTTTGTAATTTTTTTTCACACAAATAGAGTTTTCGTTTTGGTGGTATTTAATCACCACTGGGTGTTTTATTTTTTTACACTATAAATGAAAAAAAAGTGAAAATTTTGGGGGAAAAAAAGGTTTTCTTTGTTTCTATTATAACATATTGCAGAGGTAATTTTTCTACTTCAATGATGTGCATTGATGAGGCTGCACTGAGAGGCAGTACTGATGGGCACTGATAGGCAGCACTCATGGGCACTGATGAGGAGGCAATAATGAGGTGGCACTGGTGGGCATTGATGAGGAAGCACTGATGATGCTGCACTGTTAGGCAGCACTGATAGGTGGTAATGATGGGCACTGAAAGGTGGCACTGAAGGGCACTGACTGGTAGCACTGAAAGGGCACTGACTGATGGCACTGATTGGCGGCACTGATGGGCACAGATTGGCGGAACTTATGGGCACCACTGTTGGGCACTGATGGGAAACACTGTTGGGCACTGATGGGCAGCACTGTTGGGAACTGATGGGCAGCACTGTTGACCACACGTGCCCCCAGTGGTAGCACTGTTGAGCGCTGATGGGCAGCATTGTTGAGCACTTTTGGGGCTGCACTGATAATCGGGGTACTGATAACCAGTGTTCTGACTATCCGTGCAGATGCTTGTTTTGACAGTTTCAGGTTATCTGCAGTACTGCCAATAACTGGCAAGTATATTTACATAGTGGTCAGCTGTGACTGGACATAGCTGATCACGCAGCAAAAGGCCGCTATGATAGGTTTTTTACCATGTCATGTGAACAGCTGTGTCCAAAGGATGCGTGCCGCAGGGCACGTGTGGTCATATAGCGCTCTCCCAGAATTGGACTACATGCTGTAGCCAATCATTCGGCTATAGTGTGGAAGAAAAGTGGTTAAGGTGTCATTTTTAACATGAGCAATTGTCTGAGAGAAACTGAAATACTAAAATAATGTAATTATCTGACCAGGAATTTGATATACATTGATTATAGTAAATTAGGAATACAACCAGCATTTTCAAGAATAGCATCATTTATTGCATAGCAATCATGTATAGGTTTTGCCCCTGGTGTATACTTTATATCTTTTCATATGTCTAAGAGATCTTGGGATTCTGCACTGGTGCACTGGATTACTGGATAATCAATGAATGCCTAAAACAGTCTTGTCAAGAGTGGAGTTAATATACAGTCAACACCAAGTTATTGTAGAGTTTAAAAAATGTGTCTAATAGCTTAGCAATACTAGGAAAAAGGAAAAAGTTTGCATCCAAATTGACAAGGAAACAACAAACAGACAGTTAAAACGCACTTTTCTCCACTAGTCCATTTATATTGACAAAGTGGAACAGGTATTACACAGAAGAATGATGATATTCATGTGCTCTGTGTGTCATGCAGAACCTGTAGATCTGTAGCCTGGATTTAAATATATTTGAGGATGTTGCCTAATTATGCCAGTTAGTGCATTCCAGAAAGTGGGAACAGCAGAACAAAAGTACCAAAGATTTTAAGCTAAAAACTGTGGACACTTAGTTTATTTGTGTTCAATAATTGCAAAGGTAACTGGGGCCTAAATGGCCAATGGCAGCTGAAACTATTCTAGCTGGAAAACAATAATAAAACCCCTCACCACAAATTAATGGTAAACAAAAAAATCAAGAACCTTAATATGAAATCATGGGAATAAATAAATATAACCTAATATTAAGACTGCTAATTATGGCATAAATTATCAGCATACCTATCCCAAAGGACTTTTGGTATAGTTAGTGGTCCTAAAAGTCCTGTTTTACTTTTCTCTGAACTCCACTATTTTCTCACCAAAGAGATATATCCTGAACTTCCTGTCTATAAAACCAGAGGAGACAAGCTAAAGATTAATCAAAACCAGTGGTGTTGCGCTCCACTATCAGTAATATATATAAAAGTAGATAAAATTATATTAAATGAATTAATTACATAAATTAAAACAAATTATAAACAGGTGACTGAGTCCGATATATTTCCGCGACGTGATATAGCAATCATGCTGGTGCTGCATGCATATCTTTGAAAAATCTGTGATATTGTAGTGTCTTCTAATGGTGTATTGCAAATTAAATATAGTCAACCAATTCTTAAATAATGTGCTCCTTCACCAGTTGTGCTCTCACCTGACGTATATGACCAAATCGTTAAGTGAGGTCATACAAGCTTGTGTCCCTTTCATTGGGCTCAGAGGTGAACAAATGGATAAATCCCTGTATCCCAGATGGATGGATGAATGGAGTTTTTTCCCTTTTCTCAGCAGGGGGGACTCAAGCTATATATAGTGCCTTATCTTTAAGCGTTGTGACGTCAGATCCCCTCCACTATGTGTCATGCCACCGAGTCACGTGGCTTCATCAGGGGGATGAAGCCACGTGACCCGGTGGTGTAACGCGTAGGGGAGGGGATCTGACGTCTCGACGCTTAAAGATAAGGCACTATATTCTCTTTTTAATTACATGTTATATATACACATGGAGGAAAAATTTTGAAGGGAGCGAAGAGACCCCCTAGTGGGAAGAGGCATAACTCCAAACATCCATCCACCTCCAGGAAAAAGGTCCCTAGGAAACGGCGAGTCCCCCTGCTGGGAAAAAAACTTCATTCATCCATCCATCCATCTTGGATACAGGGATTTATCCATTTGTTAACCTCTGAGCCCAATTAAAGGGACACAAGCTTGTATGACCTCACTTAACGGTTTGGTCATATGCATCAGGTGAGAGCACAACTGGTGAAGGAGCACATTTAAGAATTGGTGGACTGTATTTATTTTTGCAATACTCCATTAGAAGACACAACAATATCACAGATCTTTCAAAGATCTGCCTGCAGCACCAGCTGATTGCTATATCACACCGTGGAAATATATTGGACTCAGTTACCTGCTATAATTTGTTTTAATTTATGTAATTAATTCATTTAATATTACTTTTATATATATATATATATATATATATATATATATATATATATATATTCATTTAATATTTTTGATAGTGGAGCTCGACACCACTGGTTTTGATTTGTTTTAACACACTGGTATAAGTATGTGTATAGTGTAGGTGACCCACTCATTAGTTTATTTATTTATTTAACATTCTGTACACCAGCTTAATTGATTTTAAATGTATTGCACATATACCAAACACACTGTGATATTTAAATAACTTGTTGGTTTTTTATACATACATTCACCTAAAGTATACACCATAGTAGCTCACAAGTATCACGTTTATTAAGCTAAAGATTACCGTATTTTTCACTCCATAAACGCACTTTTTTCCCCCCTAAAAAAGGGGGTAAAATGTCAGTGCGTCTTATGGAGCGAATATAAAGTGGCCGGTCCGGTATTTCCACCGCCACCATGTCAGAATACCGGGCCGGCCGCTCAGCTGTTCTCTGCGGCAGGAACTCACCTGTTCCTCGGTCCAGCGCTGTAGTCTTCCCGCGCTGGCTTCTTCCCGCCCCGGCATCTGTGATAGCCAGGTGCCCACTACGCATGCACAAGTAGCACTGTCCTTTGTGAATGGTCCGGTGTCTTCTGGGACACATGACAGGTCCCAGGAGATGACGGGGCCATTCGCAAAGCGCAGCGCTTCTCACGCATGCCTAGTGGGCACCCGGCTGTCAAAGCTGGGTGCCCACAGTATAGGAAGGAGGCTCCGCGGAAGAGGAAGTGTCAAATTCAGGTACCTGCTCCCCCTCCGTCCCTAAAGGTCCGCAGTGTCTGCTCATGCCCTGTACTGTCTGCAGTCTCTGGTCATCCCCTGTAACTGTCCGCAGTCTCTGGTCATCCCCTGTACTGTCCGCAGTCTCTGGTCATCCCCTGTACTGTCCGCAGTCTCTGGTCATCCCCTGTACTGTGCACAGTCTCTGGTCATCCCCTGTACTGTCCGCAGTCTCTGGTCAACCCCTGTACTGTCTGCAGTCTCTGGTCATCTGAACTGTCCACAGTCTCTGGTCATCTGTACTGTGTCCACAGTCTCTGGTCATCTGTACTGTGTCTGCAGTCTCTGGTCATCTCCTGTACTATGTCTGCAGTCTCTGGTCATCTGTACTGTCCGCAGTCTCTGGTCATCCCCTGTACTGTCCGCAGTCTCTGGTCATCTCCTGTACTGTCCGCAGTCTCTGGTCCATCTCCTGTACTGTATCCGCAGTCTCTGGTCATCTCCTGTACTGTGTCCGCAGTCTCTGTCTCTGGTCATCTCCTGTACTATATCCGCAGTCTCTGGTCCATCTCCTGTACTATGTCCGCAGTCTCTGGTCATCTCCTGTACTATGTCCGCAGTCTCTGGTCATCTCCTGTACTATGTCTGCAGTCTCCAGTCATCTCCTGTACTATGTCTGCAGTCTCTGGTCATCCCCTGTACTATGTCCGCAGTCTCTGGTCATCCCCTGTACTGTGTCCACAGTTTCTGGTCATCTCCTGTACTATGTCTGCAGTCTCTGGTCATCTCCTGTACTATGTCTGCAGTCTCTGGTCATCCCCTGTACTATGTCCGCAGTCTCTGGTCATCTCCTGTACTGTGTCCACAGTCTCTGGTCATCCCCTGTACTGTGTCCACAGTCTCTGGTCATCTCCTGTACTGTGTCCACAGTCTCTGGTCATCTCCTGTACTGTGTCCACAGTCTCTGGTCCATCTCCTGTACTGTGTCCACAGTCTCTGGTCATCTCCTGTAGTATGTCCGCAGTCTCTGGTCCATCTACTGTACTGTGTCCGCAGTCTCTGGTCATCTCCTGTACT